AATGTTAAGACATTTCAAATGTTCAACTAAATACTTAAATATTTGAGTTGCTGCCTCTACTAACCTTTCATGCAGCTAGTTTCAGATATCTTTATCCTCTGGATGAAAAACAAAATTCCTCAAATCCCCTCTCAACCTCTAGCCCATAACCTAAAATCTATGACTGTAGCTATTGACTAATATACTGAAGTGTTTCTCCCTGGCAGCTAAAGCTTGTCAAATGATTATCTTGGCCATGACCCTACTGCTTCTTCACAAATAGATCCCTAAATACTCCATTGCTACTATATTCCTCAATCCTTCATCCACTCAAGTTAGCATTGGCAAAACACCACCCTCATCACATCATCATGCCTGATCTAGGACCAAATTACATACCACATCAGCCCTTCAACACTTTACTTTGGAGCTCAGGAACACCTACACAATGCATAATTCTGCCAATTTGCTTGGTGTGCAGGGATACAGATGAATCTTATCTACACAAATGCATCATATGGTTCTTAGCTTGATTTCTTGGTGCTCACTCACTTTTTGCATACTTGGAGGCTGACATCCTATGCATGCTTCACGTTGTTTTCGTAACACATTAACTTGTGGAGTACTGGGGAGAAAGAAGGGGAGGCAGAAATAAACAGAGAGGGGAGGTGGGCTGGGGTTTGGGCAGGAGAGATGGGGATGCAGATAGGGGTTTATTGTGATTGGTCCGTGGGAAGGGTGTAGCATATAGGTGAGTAGGAAGATGGTCTGGTCAGGTCAGGTCAGGTCAGGTCAGGGAGGTGAAGAGGAGGGGGAGGGCTGGACATGGGATGAGGCTGAGGGTGGACGGATTTTGAAGCTGAAGTCAATGCTGAGGCTATTGGGCTGTAAGCTTCCCCCTTCCCCCAGACCCCACATCCCTCCCTCTATCTATTTCTGGGCTCCCCTCCTCCTCTCCAGTCCTGAAGAAGGGTTTCAGCCCAAAACATTGACTTTCCTGCTCCTCTGAAGCTGTTGGACCTGCTGTTATTCTAGCCTCACATCTATAGACTCTGGCTTCCAGCATCTGCAGTCCTTGTTGTCTCCAACTTGTGAAGTACCACAGTGATCAGAGCTACGGCCACTAACGTATATTAATGATTTGGATGAGGAAAGTCAATGTATTTTCGCCAAGTTTGCAGATGACATAAAAATAGGTGGAAAGTCAAGTGGTGGGGTAATACAGAATCTGCAGAGGTCAGTCAGACTAAGTGAGTGGACAAAAACTTGGGAGACGGAATAAATTGTGTAAAAAATGTGAGTATATGCACTTTGATAGGAAGAATAGAGGAGCTGAATATTATTTAAATAGGGAAAGACTACAGAAAGCTAGACCATGTGAGGGGCGGTGACGGCCTGGTGGTATTATTGCTGGACTGTTAACCCAGAGATCCAGATAATGTTCTGGGGATCTGGGTTCAAAACCTGCCACAGATTTTTGAATTTGAATTCATTAAAAAAAAATCTGGAATTAAAAATCTAATGACGACCATGAATTCATCATCGATTGTTGGAAAAACACAGCTGGTTTACTAATGTCCTTTAGGGAACGAAACTGCTGTTCTTACCTGGTCTGGTTTACATGTGACTCCAGACCCACAGCAATGTGGTTGACTCTCAACTGCTCTCTGGGCAATTAGGGATGGGCAATAAATGCTGCCTAAGTCAGCGATGCCCTCATGCCGTGATTGAATAAAGAAAAAAAAATATTTGGGAGTCCTCATGCATAAATCACAAAAAGGCTAGCCTACAATTTCAGCAAATAACAGGGAAGACAAATGGATTGCAAAATAAAGGTTGGCCTTTATTTCAAAGGGAATAGAGTATAAAAGTAAGAAGGTCTTGCAACTATACTAGGCACTAGTCAGACCACACCTGGAGTACTTTGGATAGCTTTGGTCCCCTTATACTGGCATTGGAGGCAGTCCAGAGAAGATACAGTCGGCTGATTCTATGTATGGAGGGACCATCTTAGATTGAGCCTGTACTAATTTGAGATTAGAAGGTGAGAGGTAACCTTACTGAAACATACAAAGTTTTTAGGAGGCTTGACAAGGTAGATGCAGAGAGTTTGTTTCCCTTGTGGGAGAGCCTAAAAACAAAGGCATTTAAGACAAAGATAAGGAGGGATTTTGTCATGCAGATGCTAATGAATCTGTGGAATGCTTTACCTCCCAATGATGGAGAGGCTGGGATGTGAAGTATATTCAAGGCTGAGTTAAACAGATTTCTAAAAAAAAAATCAGTGAGGGAATCAAGTTACGGAGAAAAGAGCAGGGGAAGTAGAGCTGAGGACGATCAGATCAGTCATAATTTCATTGAATGGCAGAGCAGACCCGACAGATTATATGTCTACTTTTTCCCCAAATCTAAGCTCCTTATAATTTTGAGCACCTCAATTGCATTCCCTCTCAGCCTTCTCTGCTCGAAGAAAAGCAACCCCAACCTATCTAGTCTTTCTTCATAGCTGAAACACTTCAGCCAGGAACATGCTGGTGAAGAGATAGTAGGAACTGCAGATGCTGGAGAATCTGAGATAACAAGGTGTAGAGCTGGATGAACACAGCAGGCCAAGCAGCATCAGAGGAGCAGGAAAGCTGACGTTTCGGGCCTAGACCCTTCTTCAGAAAATC